CAGGATTGAGCCAGAGCTACACTTATGGTTTGGGAGCCACTGAGGGATCCCTTCCTCACCCCCACAAACCAGAGTAGACTAGCTCTTTCACCTTTTCTTTCCTTTAACCATTCACTCATTCAAGAAATATTACTGTCAGGTGCTAGGATACCTACTAGGGCACTTTGGGGGTTTAAAAAAGATTATATAGGAGAGGAGGTGAGATTCAGTGTGCAATTAGAATGGCAAGTTCTGTGGAAGCATTTGAATCAGAGAACATGACCTCGGCTCTCTCCTTGAGGAAGTCCCTTTGAGCTCAGGCTGATGGATGAGTAGGGGACAAGCAGATCAAACTGCACATGGAAAGGAGGGTGGACCGAGGCAGAGTGAGACCTGTGCAACACAGAGGGTGGGACCTGGCTGGTGCAGGGAAGGAGATGAGGCCAGTGTGCTAGCAGGCTTGGGGTGTAGGAAATGTCCTGTAGGAAATGTAGAGACAGAATCTTGCTCTGTTTCCCAGGCTGGAGTGTTGGGGTGCAATCATAGCTCACTGCAGCCTTGGCCTCCTAGGCTCAAGTGATCCTCCCGCCTCAGTTTCTAAAGTAGCTGGGCCTACAGGCAAGTGTCACCACACCTGGCTAATTTTTCTACTTTTTATGGAGAGGACATCTCACTAGGTTTCTCAGGCTGGTGTTACTATTTCAGTAGCAAAGGGAAACCATTGACATAAGGAGGGTAGCATGATCAAATTTGCACTTTGAAAAGATCACTCCAGGCTGAGGTGAGTGGATTGCCTAAGCCCGCGGGTTCGAGACCCACCTGGGCAACTTGGCGAGACCTCATCTCTACAATAAGTCAAAAGATTAGCCGGATGTGGTAGTACGTGCCTGTAGTTCCAGCTACTTGGAAGGCTGAGACGGAAGGATCACTGGAGCCCACCAGGTGGAGGCTGCGGTGGCCGGGAGCGTGCCACTGCACTCCAGTCTGGGCGACACAGTGAGACTCCAACTCAAAAAAAGAAAAAAGAAAAAAAAAAGTCACTCCAGCCGCTGTACAGAAAACAGATTGGAGAGGTCAAGGGTGGTTGTGCCAAGAGTCTAGAGCTAGGAAGCTATGGTGATTTTCCAGGGTAAGATGATAATAACCTGGCCCAGGGGTGACAAAATGGCAAGAAATGAATAAATTCAGGAGATATCCAATGAGCTGAACTGGACAGGACTTGTTGATGCAATAGATAGAGATATGAGGTGGAAGAGGAAGGTGTCGGGGTGTCTCTGCCGCTATTGACTTACAGAACAGATGGATGGTGACGCCACTCCTAATACAGGGAACGCTGGAAGACAGCCAGATGGGGCAGGACCATGTCAGATCAGCTTTGGACAGCCTGAATTTGAGGTGTCTTTGAGGCAGTTCAGAATGTGCATTGAGATCTCAGAGAGGAAGAAAGGGTAGAGCGAGAAGCTTGGGAGTCATGGGGACCTGGGTGAGATGGCCAAGGGAGAGAGAGTCATGTGAAAGGAAGAGGGCCAAGGCCAAGCTTGAGAAGGAGCTGAGTCAGAAGGTAGGACCTGAAACGTCAAGGAAGATGAGGATGGATTTGAAAAATATCTTTTGTATTTGGTGACGTGCAATCGTTGGTAACGGTAGTAAGGGCTGTTCTATAGTGGAGGCATAGAGGCGAGACTCGGTTTTAGAATGAGCTGAGTGGAGAATGAGTGGGAGGTGAAGAAATGAAGACAGCTTGGCCGAGAGCTTTGGTTGTGAAGGGAGAGGAGAGACAGGGTAGCTGGAGGCGGATGTGAGATTAAGGAAGTTTTTGTTTGTTTTTTTATGAAGAGACTCAAGCATTTGTAAATGCCAATAGGAAGAATCCAGATTGGGTGGTGTAGGGGGCAGGGTGGGTGGTTGAGTCCACCGGAGGGAAAAGGGCTTATCAGTAGGGTAGTGGGCATGAGGAGGGAGTTGGCTCCCTAACCCTGGTGGCAACCAAGCCAGAGAGAGGGCCAGCTGAAAGGACTGGCTGAGGCCTCTCAGGCAGGTAGGAATGATTGGTTGCGGAAGATGAGGGCGGTCCCAGCTGATGGCCCCGTTCTGTGACATGAGTTGCTGTGCACGCAGCCCTGCCACCGTGCATTTCTCCCAGTAGAGCTGCCCTTAACTGCCCTGTTTAATGAGGAGTGCGTGGCTCAGTCCTGCCTCAGGCCCCTGCCCTGTAAAAGGCCTCCACCCCAGTGGGAAGGGAGAAGGGTTGCCTGGCGGCTGCCCAGGGGCTCTGCTTAAAAATGTTGAAGCACAGGACCAGCGATTACTTACCTCAGGGGCACAATCACACCACAAAGGGCAAACAGATGGACTGCCAGGACATTTGCTCTGGAGGGAAGCTCAGCTGTTTATTTTGGTTTCCCTTTTTTGTGTGTAGAGGGTGGAGGGGAGGCTGAGAGCAGTGGGGCCTCCCTGGTAGGTGGATGGGTGAGGAGGACTGGAGTGAAGAGGATCTTTGCTTTCTGAGCTTGGTCCCCTTAGGTGGAGGAGGAAGGGCTGGGACTGGAAGAGCCATCAGAGTGCCCAGGGAGTGACCTGCAGGAGAGGAGAGGAATTCGGGGGTAGGGACACTACTGGAACAGCAGGAGGCCCCAGGCCAAAGCCCCATTCCAGTGTAGACATGGTCATGTTTTGCTAGAACTGGCCAGGTAGTCCCTCCCTTGGACAGGCCACAGGGACCCGTTGTGGAGGACACCCTCTTCCTTTGGGGTCCAGTGATAGAGGGAGCCCTGTCAATATAAGATCAACCCCCTGCACTGGGAGCCCAGTACTGGGAGGTGGGGGAGGGGCCCTCTGGAGGGGATAGGTGAAAAAGCCTTTTTAATCATTAACCTGGTTGATTGAAATCTGAACCGGGGAGCCTCCTGGCTCTATTGATTTTCTCTGAAAGCACAACATCTGGAGCTGGTGGCTGCCCAGAGACCAGGGAGAGACCAGGGCAGAGGTAGTGGAAGAAGGGCAGGGAGGGAAATGGGAACCAGACCAGGAGGGAGGAAGCAGGGTCAGAGGGCCTGGAGACAGTGCAGAGGAGTCTTGGGGATGTGAGGGAAGCCAGGAAGCCCAAGCAGGCACTGGGGTGGGGGTGGGGGGTGATAGCCAGCACAACCACAGAGGCACCACTGGGAGCAGGAAGGAGCTGGAGAGGAGCTGGCAGGCAGGATGAAACTGAAGCCCAGAGCACAGTGACCTGCTCAAGGTTAAAAGGTCAGAGCCTGCACCAAAACCAAGGTTGGCTGATTTCACTGCACTGAAGAGAGGAGATACAGAAATGAAGGCCCCAAAGGAAGAGCTGAGGTGCTGCACACAGATAGTTGGCAAAAGAGATTCAAAGCACAGATGACCATTCTGAGGACAGGAGCCTTCCCGTTTTTTGCCTGTGAGAATATAGCAGACATTCAAAGGAGGGGTCAGGCCATCAGAGGAGGAAAAAAGGACCAGGTAGAAGAGATGCTAGAAGGTGCCAGACAACAAGGAATACCACGAAGACACCTGTCCGTATTCACTTAGCCAAACCCTGGGCCCTGACAAGATGGATTTTCACCAGGACATCTTACAAGGGTCCTGGCTCCCCACAATTTCTGACAGTAGGACACATAGGTCTGAGTCACCTCCGAGAAAGAGAGCCCTGCCTGGGGAGTCACATTCTGGTGGCAGGGTCAGAACCCCACACATGGGCACTGATGTACCATCCTGGTCCTCACAGTTCCCCTCACCAGTGCCAGCTCCTAGAATAGCTCTTCTCTGAGCTGGAGCAGAAAAGCCAGGCTGCTTCCTGGGAGATCCAGAAAAGGAGGGGCGGGGCTCTGAAGACTGTCAGGTACAAGATGTGGTGGTGGAGAGAAATGGAAATGGACACACACACACACACACACACACACAAAATGAGGCTCTGATGACGTGCAAGAGGTTGATTCTACAGCCTGAAGCAGACACATTGCTGAGGCCATGTTGAAGGCACTGAAGGAAGCCAAAATATTTCGCCCCAAAATATGCTTGACTTTTTTTTTTTTGAGTCAGAGTCTCTGTTGCCCAAGCTGGAGTGCAGTGGCATGCTCACAGCCACCACAGACTTGACCTGCTGGACTCAGGTGATCCTTCCATCTCAGCCTTCCAAGTAGCTGGAAATACAGGCACACACCACCATGCCCGGCTAATTTTTGATTTATTGTAGAGATGAGGTCTGGCCAAGTTGCCCAGGCTGGTCTCGAACCCGTGGGCTCAGGCATCCTCTCGCCTCAGCCTCCCAAAGTGCTGGGATTATAGGTATGAGCCACTGTGCCTGGACCTTTTTGACATATTTTGAGATGGCTGTTCAGGGAACCTGTTCAGAAGTAACCCTGCAAAGTCTTTTCTGGGGAGAATTACATATGTAGAGAAAAATCTGCATTGATATAGCCAGGCCTTCTCTGAGGCCCTCCCTGGTCTGGATCTAGGAAAGATTAACAGAGAGTCTGGTACCTTTAAAAGTCTGAAAGAAACATGTGCCATTTGTTCTGAGGACTGCTACCTGTGAGATTTCACCTTCATAGCAAGACCACCTTGGCTAGCCAGGTCGTCTCTCCTCTCCTTCCCTTAATCTGTCTTGCCATGGTCCAAGCCTCAATTCTTTCTGTAACCTCAAGATGGTATAAAGCATCAACCATCTGGTCATTTCTTTGAGTTCTTATATTTTGTATGACTGTGCACATTAATTAATATGGATGCCTTTTCTCCTATTAATCTGCCTTTTATCAGTTGATTTTTCAGTGAACCTTTGGAGGGCAAAGGGAAGTACTCCTTTGGCCCCTACAAAACCATAGGACCCTAGATCCTGTCTTTGGTCCTGGTACTAGCCAGGGCCAGTGTAGCCAGTCCAGCATCGTGGAAGCTTCACCCTGGACATGCCAAGGGGAGACTCTGGCTAGGGGGAGAGGGATCATAAAGGTGGTGAGTCAGAGCCTCCTGTCTCTATCATCTTTTCTCTCCCCTTTCTCTAACAGCTCAACATCCTGGTGGACACGGGCAGCAGTAACTTTGCAGTGGGGGCTGCCCCCCACCCTTTCCTGCATCGCTACTACCAGAGGCAGCTGTGAGTCCTGGGGAGAGCCTTGGGGAGGTTCCTTCTCCAAGGATTCAAGGTCATGAAGGGCCAGGGGAAAGGTTTTAGGGAGAAAGATTTGATCCTTGGATCCTTTCTTCTTTCTGGGGAAGGGAAAAAAGGCCACAGTAAGCTGGAGAGACAGGGTGAAGGAGTGGTTTGAGGAGGTATAGTATGGGAAAGGGGGAACTAAGCAGCAGCCAAGAAGTGTTTTAGCCCTGAGACAGGGTAACTGCCTGTGGGAGGGAGAAAGGAGGGAGAACGCCCAGAGCTGAGAGCTGCCTCAGGGCTCGTTCTCTCTGCCTGGGCCGGGAGGTGAGGGGTCTTCATCCCACACTCTCACTGTGACCGTCTTCTGACAACCCCAGCTAAGTCTAGGCTGAACAGGCTGCAGTGAGAGCTCCCTTTGCTGTGCTGTCACCCAGGGGCCCCTATAGATGGCTTTGCACAGTCCGAGGGCATGAAGGAAAGGATCTTTCTCAAACCCCACTGCCTGGACCAGAATCAGGGACTGAAAGCTAAAATATTCTCTTCCAACCACCACCCGAGTGCCACCAGCTAGACTCAGCTTACTGGTGGAAGGGAGGGCTAAAGTGGGTTTTTAAGGCAAGAGAAGCAAGTGAGGGATGATCTGGAAGGCTCTTTAGCATACAAGCAGGAAGAGGAAGTGATGGGAGGACGCCTGGTGTCCGACACTCTGTGTGAAAGCACGAGGAAAGGCTAAAGCCTGTCCCTAGACTTCTAGGCAGGTGCAAAACCCACTTTCTCCATGCCCTGCCTTCTCTGGCCCCTTCCCCTATAACATCTCTATTTAAAAGAGACAGTGAGGGTGGCAGGGCACAGGCAGGATCAATTCAAGGGCATTCCAGGTCCTCATACCAGTCCCATCATTGCCATCTACCACACTCACAAGCCCTGGTTAGTGGTGTGATTTTTTTGTTTTGAGTTAGCATCTCATTCTGTTGTTCATGCTGGAGTACAGCAATATGATCGCAGCCTCATGGCAGCTTCAACTTCCTGGGCTCAGGTGATCCTTCTGCCTCAGCCTCCTGAGTAGCTGGGACTACAGGCTGGGACTGCACCACCATGCCTGGCTAATTTTTTAATTTTTTAATTTTTTGTAGAGACGAGGTCTTGCTGTATTGTCTGGGCTGGTCTCAAACTCCTGGGCTCAAGCAATCCTCCTGTCTCAGCCTCCTGAAGTGCTGGGATTACAAGCACAAGCCCCTGTGCCCAGCCGGTGTTGTGTTTAAACCCAGGTGGAGGTATCACACATTCACAAGCATGTGTCCCAGAGTGGTGTGTAAGACTGACCTGCTTTACTGAGATGCTTGTGCAAGTCCCTTCTCTAGAAGAACTTGCTGTAGAGTTCCACATTCACCCTGCCAGGCATTTTCTCTACCACTCAGATGGTACCACCGGGTCCCAAGGCAGCAAGAGAGTCAATGGCTCCTTTTCTCTGGGAGTGTCATGGAGCCAGGGGGAGGAAGAGATGCTCGCTTGCTGTCCCACAGCAGCAGTAGGCACAATGCACAAAGCACAGGCTTGTTCTTTGCAGAGCCTGGGCTCAAGATCTAGGAATATGAGCTATGAAGACAGAGAGCGAGCCCCGGCCATAGCTCCCCTCATCTGTTTGCAAGGCCACTTTGCCAGAAGCTCTGGGGGTGGGCTTAGGGAGGTTAGGGCTGAGCAGCCTAAGTGAAGACTCTAGGATGCCCCTGAGAGACGGTGCTGAATCCCTATGCCACTTGTGATTATGCACTCACAGATCTCTGCCTCCTTTCTACAGGTCCAGCACATACCGGGACCTCCGGAAGGGCGTGTATGTGCCCTACACCCAGGGCAAGTGGGAAGGGGAGCTGGGCACCGACCTGGTGAGCATCCCCCATGGCCCCAACGTCACTGTGCGTGCCAACATCGCTGCCATCACTGAATCAGACAAGTTCTTCATCAATGGCTCCAACTGGGAGGGCATCCTGGGGCTGGCCTACGCTGAGATTGCCAGGGTGAGAGGAACAAAGACTGACCCCACACACTGGGTCTGCACATTGCACGCTGCATGCTACACAGGGAAGGAGTTAGGAGAGAGCGAAGGAGTTAGGGGAAGGGATTGACTAAGGAGGGAAGCATGTCAGTTTAAAGGATTATGTGATGGGGAAAGGGAGGAAGTCTGAATTTCAGCCCTATAGAGGGCAGAACTAAGTGAGAGAAGTGCTGATAGGTACAGGAATAGGCTGTGGTTTCTATTTAAGATATTTAAGAATAATAAAGGCCCTCATAAATCTGAAGCAGAGGCATATGGGGATCAGAGATCTATGGGTCTGTGAGCCCATTAGTACTGTCCTGTTTGCACTATCAGTGTCTCTTGCTAACCTTCTCTGCCAAATCTCATCACCTCAGGATGGTCTTTCCCAAGGAACATCCCTGCTTTTGCTTTTGCATTCCACTGGCCTCTCCCCATTAGGGCCAATGGATTCACTTTTTGCCTCTTTCTGCCACAGCCCGACGACTCCCTGGAGCCCTTCTTTGACTCCCTGGTAAAGCAGACCCACGTTCCCAACCTCTTCTCCCTGCAGCTTTGTGGTGCTGGCTTCCCCCTCAATCAGTCAGAAGTATTGGCTTCAGTTGGAGGGAGCATGGTGAGTAGGTCCTCAGGGAGGGATGGTCCTGGCATCAAGAGAGAGGGATGGGTGCTATGGGGCCTCCTCCCTCAAGGCTACACTGCAGTCTTGGATCCACTAAGTAGAATCAAGAGAAAGCTCTTCATATATATATATATATATATGTATATATATATATATTTTTTTTTTTTGAGTTGGAGTCTCACTCTGTCGCCCAGACTGGAATGCAATGGCCACTCCTGGCCACTGAAGCCTTGACCTGCTGGGCTCCGGTGATCTGTCTGCCTCAGCCTTCCAAGTAGCTGGAACTACATGCGCGCACTACCATGCCCAGCTAATTTTTTATTTGTTGTAGAGATGAGGTCTCACCAAGTTGCCCAGGCAGGTCTCGAACCCGCAGGTTCAGGCAATCCACTCACCTTAGCCTCCCAAAGGTGCGGGATTACAGGCTGAGCCACTGAGCCCGGCAAAAACTCTTTATATTTTCTTTTCTTTTTCCATTCTTCCCTGCGTTATTCTAGAAAGGATTTGAGGCACCCATGGTAAACTTGGAAAGGATTGGAGTGATTAGGAAAATTTCAAAGGAAATGAAAATAAAATCCATGGAATAAGAGTATTCAATCTGTACCAGGCGTGGTAGCATGTACCCGTGGTCCCAGCTGCTTGGGAGGCTGAAGCAGAAGGATCACTTAAGCCCAGGAGTTTGAGACCAGCCTGAGCAATGTAGCAAGACCCTGCCTCAAAAAAAAAAAGAAAAAAAAAGGTTATTTAGTCTGACAGTCAGAAGGCAGAGATGTAAGGCATTTAAGTCTATTAATCAACTAATCAGGACAATGGTGAATGGTTTTCCAATAAGCAGAGAAAATAAAACTTAAAATAGAAGCAACTGTTCATTCAACATTTATTTTGCCAGTTTAGGTTTAAATTATTTTGTATCAAGAACTGTGTGATTCTGAAACAAATAATTAAAAATCTTGAAAAATCTCTTCTCCTGAACATATGTAAGAAACTATATATCACTTTTGAGCATGATTTGATTAGAAGCAGGAAGATGAGACGGGTACTCTGTAGAAGACCTTGCCACCCCAAGAATTGACTGATCTTATTGCTGGGTCTCCAGGTGACTTGCTCTCCTTCTGTGTGGGACACGGGTACCTGCCTCTTTTTTCCCCTAGATCATCGGGGGTATCGACCACTCACTGTACACGGGCAGTCTCTGGTATACACCCATTCGGCGGGAGTGGTATTATGAGGTAATCATTGTACGGGTGGAGATCAATGGACAAGATCTGAAAATGGACTGCAAGGAGGTAACAAGACCAATGGGGACTCGGGGGTAGTGAGGGCAGGCAATACTGAGGGAAGACCCTGGTTATGAGATTGGAAGGATGAGCCAGAGGTGCAAGACCTGTAGGAAGGGTTGGATGCTGAGCCTAGAACAGGCAGGAGCTTAATGGTCACACAGCTGGACCTGAGGTTTGGGGCTAGGGACTGGCAAAGCACTTCTCCAGGGACCACAGGGCTTAGGGCTTAGTGATGACCAAAAGCATGGAGCTAGGTCTGATGCCTGGACGCTAGTCACTACCTTGCTTCATGGCCTTGGGCAAGCCGTTTGCCAGGCAGGGTGATATAACAGAAGAGTCTATCTTTGGGGTCAGAAAGACCTGGGTTTGAACATAGCGATGACACTAGCTATCAACTCTTAGGTAAGTTACTATTCTGCATTGCAGTCTCCTTATTTGCAAAACAGAGGTAAAAGCAATGATCCCACAGCTTGTCAATATCAGAGAGTGTTTATCCCTAAGCTTGGCAGTGTCCAATAAATAGTAGCTACACCATTTGGTTTTCCTTACATAGTCTTATGTATGTTTGGTTAGAATAGATATAAATATACGAAAAGCTGAAAACACTTAGCCGGGCATGGTAGTGCGCGCCTGTAGTTCCAGCTACTTGGAAGGCTGAGGCGGAAGGATCACTGGAGCCCAGCAGGTCGAGGCTGCAGTGGCCAGGAGTGTGCCACTGCACTCCAGTCTGGGCGACAGAGTGAGACTCCAACTCAAAAAAAAAAAAAAAAGAAAACACTATAGAAGGTGTTTTTATTTTTAAGATTTGATAATACCTGCCCACCTAGGAGTGCCTTTGAGTGCCTCCTATCTGCTGGGCATTATTCTAAGTGCTTTAGATGTGTTCATTTATATAATCCTTATAATAACTCTTTGAGGTAGATGGTATTTTTATTCTAATTTTAGAGACAAAGTAACTGAGACACAGAGGTTAATTGTCTAAGGAGGTAATTACGAAGTAGCAAAGCTAAAAGCCAGGACAACAACCCAGGCAGGACCCCTAAGCAGTCAGACTCACCCCTCCAACTCTGCCCAGAACTTAGCATCAAAAAAAGCTTTTGACTCTTCTAGCTCTCTCTTCTCACTCCTAGTACAACTATGACAAAAGCATCGTGGACAGTGGCACCACCAACCTTCGTCTGCCCAAGAAAGTATTTGAAGCTGCAGTCAAATCCATCAAGGCAGCCTCCTCGGTCAGTGGACTAAGGATGGGGGTAAAAGAGATGGCATAGTGTCAGAGGAAGTCAGTGAGAGTCACATTCCTCAGCAAGAGTCAAGATGTCTCTACTTAGGTCCTTCCACACAGAACTCTAAAATACTTTCCCCAGTCAGGCACGGTGGCTCATACCTGTAATCTCAGCACTTTGGGAGGCCAAGGCAGGAGGCTGAGCCTCGTTGAGCCCAGGAGTTCGAGACCACCTTAGGCAACAGAGTGAGACCTCATCTCTACACACACACACACACACACACAATTAGCCAGGTGTGGTGGCATGTGCCAATAGTCCTAGCAACCCGAGAGGCTGAGGTGGAAGGATAGTCTGAGCCCAGGAGGTCAAAGCTGCTGTGAGCCATGATCTTGCTACTGCACTTCAGCCTGGGCGACAGAGTGAGACCCCTGACTCAAAAAACAACACGCTTTTTCCTTTATGGGTCTCAGTTTGCTCCTCAAATAATCCCCTGGCACAAATGTTTGACCTCAGCCTCCTATTGTCTTCCTTTAATCCTTCAGTTGCAATTTACCTTTCCCTACTTTGGACATTTAACTGAAAAAGCAAATGAAGAGCCCAGTGTCAACGGAAAATAGGAGAGGTGAGACGGTGAGGAAGCCATTTCCTCATTGTTACCTCCTTCTTGCCCACACAGACGGAGAAGTTCCCCGATGGGTTCTGGCTAGGAGAACAGCTGGTGTGCTGGCAAGCAGGCACCACCCCTTGGAACATTTTCCCAGTCATCTCACTCTACCTAATGGGTGAGGTCACCAATCAGTCCTTCCGCATCACCATCCTTCCACAGGTATGTCCCCAACCTGAGCCAGTGGGATCCCAGTAAGGGGGCAAAGGACATATTGAGAGATAGTGAACAGTTATGGCTTCTCAGAACCTGGAAGACAAAATAGATGAGTGTCCAGTAGGGAAGGGGTCTTGGAAAACCCAGCCCCTCGGAGCTCAGGGATGGCAAAGGGAAGCGTTACTTGAGGGCAAATGCCTAGAAGGCAGAGGGGGGGTGAAGGATGGAGGGAGGAAGGCATTCTCACCCTGTGACTGCTTATCTCTAGCAATACTTGCGGCCAGTGGAAGATGTGGCCACGTCCCAAGATGACTGTTACAAGTTTGCCATCTCACAGTCGTCCACAGGCACTGTCATGGGAGCTGTTATCATGGAGGGCTTCTACGTTGTCTTTGACCGCGCCCGGAAACGAATTGGCTTTGCTGTCAGTGCTTGCCATGGTGAGAATGCCAGGGATGAGGGTGTGGGGTCAGTATATTCATATTCTTCCTGTCCTGTCAGCAGTCAGGATGCTTGGGCCCCTGTCATTTTGAAGGTAGTAACAGTTGCTCAAGCCACAGTCGGCATCTTGTGCAAAAACTAGTGCCAGTGCTTGTCCTTTTTGGGCATTGCCTACCATGTAGGTTACCCCTACCTGGATTGGCAGCAAGAGTTGCCTAGGCACCTTGGGAAGCGCTAGATGCAAGGGCAGCAGGCTAAGTCTATGGTGACCCTGTCAGCTGCCACATGGTGAGCTTCGGCAAAGTGGCAGAGTTTTGCAGGGGGATTAAAGCAAGCAGCAGAAAGTACTTTACTAGGTACAAGGACTTAATTTTGCTCAGCTCAGAATTACTGACTTTTGATATCATTCCTACTGAATGGATCTGCAGGGAAGGGCTGTGACTTCCAGTAACCTGGGAAGGGAGACAGACCTCTAGCCGACACTGGCTTTCTGACCTGCCCCTAAACATCTCCTGGGAAATTCGATAAACCCGCAGGGGTTGAGTTCAAAGTTCACCATCAGGAAGTTCTTTTTGGTGTATAACCCAGACTGCTCTATGTCAGTGAGAGCTGCCCATTCTCATCTACCCTCTCCCTAGTGCACGATGAGTTCAGGACGGCAGCGGTGGAAGGTCCTTTTGTCACCCCGGACATGGAAGACTGTGGCTACAACATTCCACAGACAGATGAATCCACCCTCATGACCATAGCCTATGTCATGGCCGCCATCTGCGCCCTCTTCATGCTGCCACTCTGCCTCATGGTGTGTCAGTGGCGCTGCCTCCGCTGCCTGCGCCATCAGCACGATGACTTTGCTGATGACATCTCCCTGCTGAAGTGAGGAGGCCCAAGGGCAGAAGATGGAGATTCCCTGGACCACATTTGGGTGGTTCCCTCTGGTCATAAGTAGGAGACACAGGTGGCATCTGTGGCCAGAGTACCTCAGGACCCTTACTCACCCACCAAATGCCTCTGCCTTGACAGAAAAGGAAAAGATGGCAAGGTGGGTTATAGGGATTGCACCTGTAGAAACAGGAGAGGGAAGAAGCACTTTGGTGGTGGGAATGCTCTTGGTCACCTCAAACTTAAGATGGGAAACTCTGCTGCTTGAAACTTCAGCCCTGAACCTTTGCCCACCATTCCTTCAAATTCTCCAACCCAAAGTATTCTTATTTTCATAGTTCTAGAAGTACTGGCATCACCCCCAGCTTACCCTGGTGTGTGTCCCTGTGGTACCATGGTAGAGAAGGGGCCAATCTTGTTTCCCTGCTGACCAAAGTTAGTGGGAGAGGATGCAGTTTGCTATTTGCTTTAGAGATAGGGACTGTATAAATACGCTTAACATTGGTGCAGATTCCCTTTTGAATTAGACAAAAAATAATTATACTGAACTTATGTACAAATGGGAGCGGTTAGAAATAGGAGAAGAAATACAAAGATGGGGATAGTGAGATCAAAGCTAGGAAAGGCAGAAACACAACCACTCCCAGTCCCAGTTTTAGACCTCATCTCCAAGACAGAATCCCAGCTCATAAGATGGGTATTGTTGCCCAGTATTTTCTTTTCTGTGGTTGCAGCCTGACCAAAAGTAAGATGGGAAGAAGGGCTCATCTAGCCAAAGAGCTCTTTTTTAGCTCTCATAAGTGAAAAGTGCCCACTAAGAAGTTCCACTTAACATAATTTCTATCTTATTAACTCCACTTGTCTCTACCTGAACTCTTAATTCTGCATATGATAGGCAGTGCTGAAATATCCTAACCCTTAAGCTCCAGGTGCCCTATGGGAGAGCAGCTGGAATATAAGCAGGGCTGGGCTCTGTCTTCCTGGTCACAGGTTCACTCCTTCCCCCAAATTCCTATTTTTCTGGAGCTTTGCAGCTGAGGTGCTAAAAGGAATAGCTAGGATACCTCTCCTACTTAATCCTTCAAAGCAGAATCCTGACGATTAATTCAGCAGCTATAGGGCTGATGCCCTATACCTCTGCCTGGATTTCTTCCTGTTCGGCCGTAAGAAGTGGTAAGATCTTCATGTAATACAGAGCAGTTTCATTGCCTTCTCACCTTCTCTAAGGGCCCCTCCATTTATTTAAGGCATCACAGTGACACTAGTATTATATACCGAGAGTGTCTGAAATGCAAGACTGTCTGGGTCTAACATCATTGCCTTCAGTATCAAGGTTGCCTGAAGAAAGGATGGCAGCCTCAGGGCTTCCTTATTTCCTTCACAAGAGCCCCTTGATGAAGGCCATCTTTTCCCCCATCCTGCTCTCTACTCCCCATTCCTAATAGTACATGGGTACCCAGGCTGGTTCTTGGGCTAGGCAGTGGGGATTGAATTCATTACCTCCTTATCAGTTCTAACACAGTAGACTATGATATCAGTGTTAGTGGGAAGAGCTGAATTTTCCTGGTATACCCACTACATTCTATTCCTCTCTGGTCAACACATACCACTTCCAGGTATGGGACCTGCCAAGTGTGGAATTACCTGGTGAGGGAGAGGGAAATATAAGGAGGCCTCTGGAGTTCCTGGCCTCAGCCAGCTGCCCACAAGCCATAATCCAATAAAACAAGAATACTGAGTCACGGTTTTTTATCTGGGTTCTCTTCATTCCTGCTGCACTTGGTGCTGCTTTGGCTGACTGGGAACACCCCCATAACAACAAGGACTGGCAGGAAGACTAGAGACTGTTCACTTCCAGCTCAGATCTTACTGTGTAAATAAACTTCCAGAATTGCTACCATGAAATGAAAATGCCACATCTTACTTTATAATTTCTACCCATGTTGGGGAAAACTGGCTTTTTCCCAGCCCTTTCCAGGGCATAAAACTCAACCCTTTCATTAGTAAGTCCCACTGTCCTATTATTTTTTTAAAAGAAAACTTGCATTTATTTTTCTTTTTATAGTTACTTCCTTTCTACCCTGAAACTATGAACTCTTAAGTGTAAAAAAAAAAAAATCATGACAACAGCTTCTTGCTTGTAAAAATATGTATTATATGTCTCTATTTTTCAATTCTACTCCTGAAAAATGACTGTCGCACTCCACTCATTGCATTTGGGGCCTTTCCATTGGTCTGTGTGGCTGCACCATTGCAGGCCAGTGGATGGAGGGTGAAGGGAGAATAGGGGTGGCCAAAGCTTACATGTTGCTGTCTCATTGATCCTGACAAGAAAGAGAAGAGTAACACTGAGGCCCCCATGCACCACTCTCCACTTACCCTCCTGCTAGAGTTGGCCTTCCAGGGTCTTTACTGGGAGGCAGTTAAGACCTCCCTCCTCACTTGTTCCTTTTTTCTTTCTCTACTCCTCTGGCTTCAAAGATTTTGGGGAAAAAAACAATGTTCTTTTATGTATTTTTATTTTATTTTTTGAGACAGGGTCTTGCTTTGTCGCCTAGGCTGGACTGCAGTGGCGCGATCATAGCTCACTGCAGCTCCAAACTCTTGGGCTCTAGGGATCCTTCTGCCTCAGCCTCCTGAGTAGCTGGGGCTTTTTTGTGTGTGTGGAGATGGGGTCTCACTTTGTTGCCCAGGCCTGGCCTCAAGCAATTCTCCCACATTGGCCTTGGCCTTCCAAAGTGTTGGGATTATAGGCGTGAGCCACTGCGCCCAGCCAAGAAACAATATTCTTTATACTCATTTCCAATTTCTTAATTTTCAAGGGATACTGAAAAATACTGCAGGTGGCCCAAGGCAGCTGCAAAGTTGAGGGGAGAGAAAAATCTTAAGATTACAAGATGAAAAAGAATCCTTCTAAAGGAAAAGAACAAAAAGAGCTGGTCTTCCATTTTGCTACCTTTTCTGTTCGTGACAGCCACCAAACTGGAGACAGTGATATTTCATGAACCAAAGAAAGTGCATCATCTGAGCTCTAAGAAACTGAGTACTTGGACCACTCCATCACCTTACAGATGCCAAGGCCCTAGGAAGTCCAGCTTCTTAAGCTGATGCTGGTCAAATAAATCTAGGCAAGTAAAGCAAGAGACAAGAGAAAGAATTCATCTATGAGCAGCTAGGCAAGAATAAAAGACAAAGAAGGAAAGCAGTAACAAAACCAGAGAGGAGAGAATCTAGTTGGATCTGAAAGGAAAAGTCTTTACTATCCTGATATGTACTGCTAGTACCAAAAAGCTTTTCCAGATCCCAGAATGGAAAAAATTCAGTTGTTGGTAATATAATGATGTCTTTTCCCTGGAGCCAATTTTTTTTTTTAATTAGCTCTTAGTTTTTACTTAATTCCAAAAGAGAAGGGAGCTGAAGCTATTCCCTGTAGGAGTAAGTAAAGATAAAAGGATAGGAAAAGATTCAAAGTTCTAATAGAGTCACAGCTTTCCCAGGTATAAAACCTAAAAACCAGAAGTGCAATAAGCAGAAGTGGAAAAATGACTTAGTTCTAATAACTATCCACAGAACAAATGATTTTTAAACTTGAAATCCAAACTTGTGTCTTCATTTAACTTTGGTCTCCATTTTTCCCAGGACAGGAAACATGTCCCCCATAGCTTTCTTGCGTCAAAACTTAAAACCTAGCATCCCAAGATCATTCTGCAAGTAATTTTGCACAAACATCTCCTCACCCCAGTGCCTGTCTGGAGCTCACCCAAGGTCACCAAACAACTTGGTTGTGAACCAACTGCCTTAACCTTCAGGGGGGAGGGGGCTAGCTAGACTAGGAGACCAGAAGTGAATAGGAAGGGGTGAGGACGTCACAATGTTGGCATGTCAGAGCTTGATTAGAAGCCAAGCCACTGGTGGCAAGGGAAGGAAAAACCTGTGGGTTGTGCTAATTTCTGTCCAGGAAGAAAGGTGGTTAGAAGCTTGTGGGGGGTGTGGAGGCAATGGGACCTGATTATGTTGTTATTCTTGGACTGTGAATTTTGCTGATGTGAAGCAGAAAATTCTGTAAACCTAATGTCTATGTATAAATAATGAGCGTTAACACAGTAAAATATTCAATGAAAAGTCAAACTATTAGGGTTACATTTTCTTCCTCAGAGTCTCATTTCATCCCTGTGGAATAGAGTAGCCAAAACAATACTGAGGCTTCTGGAGGCTTTCAATAAGCAAGGCATCTGGTTGGACAGCGGGTGAGCACCAGGCTTCAGATCTGCATGAGCCATAAGAAAATGGACTAGAGGCTGAGCTAAACCAAAGCAGGATGGCCTTAGAGCAACAGCAGCTTCCTAGATGGTTTTTATATTGTATTTGAAAACAGCCTTGGGCAGGGATATCATAATTTCAAGGCCAAACTAAAATCAGCTTCCTTGCAATCTGCATCCCCCAAAGGAATTACAAGATGAGGGGGAACAGATTGCTTCTGCATAATATACATACTTTCATTTACGAACATTTGAATACAGACTTTCTATACACACATCACCTATATAATAAAAATGTACATGGCATGAGTATATGTCACTGTATAAATATAGAGTTTTAGAATCTTGAACCCGCGCTTCCTGTTCACATCAGTTTCTCCTCTTCTTCCTCCCCAGTCAGGTCCGTCACTTATAAGATGGACAAAAGGGACAAGTGTCTTTTGTGTTGGTCTGGGCCCAGAATTTGATGCACTGGAAAGAAAGAAAGACATACCTCAGGTTTATCTGGCAAGATGAAGGGAAGGAAGGAGAGAGTGCCAATGAGGTTCACCAAGGCCTACGTCGGAGAAGTTCTTACTATGCGGTATTAGAAGGGCCGTTTCAATGGCTCTTATCCCTACAGAATCTTCAGAGCAGGTGAACCTATCCTTTTTATAAGGAAGATAACAAGTAGCTAATAAAACTGTTCATGAAGCTGCTTTTTGTTGAGTATCTAGGATGGCTTGCTCCCTCTCACAATCCATTAGCCTGAGACGAGCTTCTTTCTCCTAATACCTACCACCCTCAAATCTTATTCAAGACTTTTTCTTACATAGAATTTAGATGTAAAGTCAGTTTCTACTTATTAGAAAAACAAAATGAACAAAACAAAATAGTTAAGAAGGAATCATCTCTGACGCTAAGAAACTTAACTCTGCCTGGTGACATACTAAGTGATTAGGACATGACTTGCCAGTCTGTAGATAATCTCTAACAGGCAGACCTTCAAGCTATTCTGTTAATGGAGTTACTAATCTCCCTACTCAGGTTCCCATTCTATTCCTCTCATCTAAGCAAAGTCTCTTAATGCTATATTTGAACAACAGTTAGATATGTGGGATTATCTCTTGTCAATTTTCCAAGGAAGTGACTTCCTAGTGTTCCAGTCTCCTGAAGAGAATGGGGTAAAAAGCAGCTGGGAGATTCTAACTGCAGTATTCTGAATTGTGCTAATTTTTAACCCACAAGTTATGATTAGATATTAATGATGAGCACTAACAGTAAAATGTTCAAGAAAAATTATCTCAGTTGTCAAGAAAGAAAGTAGAAAACAAGGAAGGTCTATGGCACTCACCTCCTTGTGCAGCACATGGGTACATGCCATTGGATGCAGCTCACTGGGTGGGACAAGTTTCTGGCACATTAAACACAGCTTATAGGTGACTGGAGCCTAGGAATAGGGGAGGTATAGTCTAAAGGTTAAGGAGCCTCTGGATCTCCTTGCTTTTTGTGCCCACATTCCATGTGGCAAAAAGATTTTCCACCAAAAGAAATAAAAGTCTAAGCTGGGTGCGGTGGCTCACGCCTGTAATCTCAGCATGGGGAGGCTGAGGTCAGAGGACTGCCTGAGCCCAGAGTTCAAGACGAGCCTGGACAACTTGGCGAGACCTTGTCTCTACAATAAATAAAAAAATAAGCGATGGCTCAAGCCTGTAATCCTAGCACTGTGGGAGGCTGAGGTGAGGGCATTGCCTGAGCCCACAGGTTTGAGAACAGCCTGGGCAACATGGCGAGACCTCTTCTCTACAATAAACCAAAAAATTAGTGGGGCATGGTAGCACGTGCCTGTAGTTCCAGCTACTTGGAAGGCCTGAGGCAGAAGCATAGCCTGAACCCAGCAGGTCTATGCTGGGGTGGCCGCAAGCATGCCACTGCACTTCAGCCTGGGTGATGGAATGAGACTCCAACTCAAAAAAAAAAAAAAAAAAAATTAGCCGGGTGTGGTGGGACATGCCTGTAGTTCCAGCTATTTGGAAGGCTGAGGCAGAAGGATCACCTAGCACTGTAGACTGAGGCTGCGGTGGCTGTGAGCACTCCAGCGTGGGTGACAAAGTGAGACTCTGACTCAAAAAAATAAATAAATAAAAGTCCAAACATAGTCTTGCCTAAAATCCTTCCATTTTCCCAGTAGGGCTACAAACAACCCAACTAATGGTTTCTTCCTGCACTCCACTTGTAAACCCACTCCCTCACTCCAGCTTCTTCATATCCCACTGTTCAAAGAAAAAGTATCTTACATGTGAAGACCTTCCAGAATATGAAACTTGGGCAGAAGGCAAGAACATTGGGGTACTGATTTGGGCCAGTGGAGCAGGGAACAAGGCCCGGATCCGACCAAGTGGCTGTGGGTAGAAACATTGTCAGAGTAAGGGCAGAAAGTCTGAGAATCAAAGCACACAACAAAAACCACTTATTTCCCAGTCCAGCAAAAGAAGAAAGCAGACCAACTACCCCTGACTGGAATGTTTCTTCCTACCCCCGATTTTTCTGAAATCTGCCTCTTTCCCACCATCCCAGTAGGCCTAAGTTCCCTCCCAAGCAGCTTTTCTTACCTGAGTACTTGCTGCCACCCGTTCATGCTCGGCCAGTCGTGCAGCTA